TGTCGGAAATTTTGACCCACCAAAGTGTAAGTGTCGGGAATTTGAGTGCGTTCAATAAAAGTGTCGGGAATCTGAAGTGTGTCAATGAAAGTGCCGTAAGTCACAACCGAGCCAATAAAAGGGTAGGAGAGATTGGCCTTCTCCGACACTTACACTTTAGTCACAAAATGTCTATAAAAGGGTAGGAAAGTACAAAAGTCTCAAATAAAAGTGTCGGAAAGTCCAAAGTAGGGGGGGATTATTAAAAGTGCACTTGGACCGCCATATTATTCGACGTGTTTAATGGAAGAGCCCACAATAATCCACAGCTATCGGTCGCTTCATGGCGCTGGAAATGCACCTGTAAGCGCAGCAATTTTTTTGTTCACTATTTTGTACAACCAAGCAAAACGGTTGATAATTTGAACTTGATTTGAACGGTCAAATTTGAGGCCAGAAGGGGGAAATTTTTGGAAAGGAAGCAATATTGTTTGAATACGTGTGCATAAATCACACTTACTACGGAGAACTGCAGGATGGGAGCACAAGAATATAAATATAAGCAAGTAGTGCCGAGCGCCCAGCACGGCGCCAGTACTGATGGATTCGGCCGGGCTTGCGTATCTACGCAAGAACGTAAGGCGCTAGCTGACCTGGATTTCTGCTCGATTCTCTAGAGACCAGGCGCTCCCAGCGAATTTGATCTTCTGAGTCGATCATTCTGATTCATGGCCACTGGCAGCGCCAATCTGCTCGTTTTATTTATTCTTGTCCCGGATAATGGCGTGGAAGTAACTCTGGCCCTTTGGGCAGTCATCGAAATCTTAGAACCACTTCGTCGACTTGACGACTTGAGGATCATAGATGCTGGTTTTTTAGAACAAGCTACATAGCTTTTTTTTACACTACTTAGCTTGCTTTTGTACACCGTGAGCCCGGTGTCCATTATTCAGACCAGCCGTGTTATGATACCTACCTATATGTACCTCCTTACCTGGATGTTGGCCATCCGGTTGTCTGGAGGCATCATATCAGGAGATCGGCCCAACAATCAGCGAAGCAGATCGGACCTTTCAGCGACATCGCGAGATTTTTTTTGGTATTCTCTCAACTGGCGTCTAATGTACTTATCAACCATCTTGACGGTAGGTAGGTAGGTATATAGCATTACACGGTACGGTCCGAAAAACGAACGCCCGTTTCCAGGGATTATCCAGGTACCTGGAAAGATGAATTGACAAATTGTTTCTTCTACGTGCGAACAAGATATGGATAGGATATATCTCACAGAGTACGTCCTCTTTTCTAACCCACGCTGCTCTGAGAGTCCCCAGTCTGCAACTACTTCTTGTCCACTGGTGGACTGACATTTTTATCTAATGCCCTCCAACTCAGATCAAACTCCGCTTGCAGCCGTGCTTGAGGAGCTCGTCATTGTCGGATTCTATATACAGCAATCTGTTGTCGGTATGCTTACCCAAACCATCTTTTTCAGTGAGTGCATTCACCGAGATCAGCACATTGACTGAAGGTTTTCTAGGTGCATATGGAATATTTTTCACTGTTGCTTTGTATTCAATTTTGTAAGTTCTGGTGGCAAAAGTTAGCCATGCTTGACGGATTCGATTTCCAGTCGGAAAGGCCTGAGGTCTCGGGCTGCTATCATCATGCTTCTGGTTGTGGTTTATCTATATGTGGCATCCGCTGCTATATGGGCCATGAACATCTGGATTTTACTCACAAATATCCATGGATTGTTGATGGTTCCCGATGTTCCTTTCCCGGACCGAATAGAGCTGGCAGAGGCAGCATTCCAAGTGGAGGGAATACTGGAAGCTATATTCGTCTTCAATGTTTGTGCAGGTTCTCAGTCATCCGTGATTATTAAACAAGTCATTAGATGGTTGTCGGAGACAGTGTTGTCATTTGGCGCACTTGGGCCATTTGTCACCGCATAGTTCAGCACAGGATTTTCGTCATCTTAGTGCCAGGCACCCTCCTGCTACTGACGTTCAGTGAGCTCCTGGAACTCTCATATCCAGTACCAACTTTAATCCCTGTTTTCCCTCTTAGTTTTTTCGATCATAGACACCGCGTGCAGAAACTATCACAGCGCTGCTCCTCTGCCAGGTGTCTGCAATGAAACCTTGCCGATTGCCTGCGGTTTCTCCGCCGCAACCAACATCGCTTGCACGATATTCATTGGGTTGAAAGCCCGGTATGCATCTCTTTCGGGCTTGAAAATGAGTCTTACGATATAAATGCACAGACAGCATCGCAAAATAACGGGACTACTGGGGAAACCTAGCCGGATGTCAGGAGAAAAACTACTGTCCATTCTTTTTGACTCCGGATTTATTTACAGTTTAATCTGGGTACGAAAATCAGACCCTTTGCTTACAATTATTGACCAAGAGTTGATATTCCAGCTCAGCCTAATAATTATGAGTGTCAGTACCACCCACGCCACCTTGACTTCACCCGTGTTCTACCTCAAAGAAGTCGTTGTTGCAATGTCAGACCAGATGGCAGGCTTCTACCCGACGCTTGTCATCGTCATCGTGAATCTTCGGCTTACAAACTGGGAGGAGGAGGAGAAGTCAATGCCAGTTAGCAGTCCCTTATGCTGCACGCTGAATGCCAAGTGATCCAGGATGACACACAGGTTCAGTAGCCAGCACGGAGATGATGCTGTTCATGTCGCGGGTGCCTTTGACATCACCAGTGACAAGGCTTTCGTCGATGCCAGCAAACATCCCAGAGTGTGACAGCACACCACCAGATTATTATTTCCACTTTCATTTTCAACACTCTTGGACATCTTTACCTATCACATTCCCGATCTATAGTACATACACTGTCCAATATACCCAAACTCGTTGAAATGACACTAAAACTTGACGAGATGGCACAGATTAGAGTGAAAACAACGAAATGGCATCTGGTTGAAAAGTGAAATTCCAGTTGTCGTTCAGTAGCCAGCACGGAGATGACACTGTCTATGTCGAGAGTCTTTGACATCACCAGTGACAAGGCTTTCATCGATGCCAGCAGATATCCCAGAGTGTGAAGGCATGCCACCACATTATTATTTTCACTTCCATTTTCAACACTCTTGGACCCATTTACCTGTGTATCTGGACTATATTTTGAATGTAAAAATTTGTCATTCTCTCTGGAGTTCAACTCAACTTGTAGGATAGGAAGTGTAACATATAGCTGTATTCCCAATTCAACCACTCTACACTTTACCATTTAGCATATTGCTTAGCAACGCGGACCATCTATAGCAATTCCGCAGTGAATCTCACTTCAACATTGATCAGTTTCTTCATGTCTTTTCTCCAACATTGGGAAGTATTATTTAATACCGAATTACTATTGACATTCTAGTATTATATACCTGTAGTGAAGCCACAGTCATGTTCATGGTGACTCAACATCTGGGCAGCCTCTGGATTTAGGAATCGTCTTCAGATATTTGTATAGAACCTTTGCCATTTCGCGAGAAGATGTGAGCTTGACTCCCACCAGAGGCTTGGGCAGAAATATTGTAAAACCTTTTTTACTACATATCTCAGCACATGTATATGATGAGCAGCAGCTAATAAGTCTAGGATTACTTGCAGGGGTGTTTCTGGTTCAGATGATTTTATTTTGGTTGTGGGGTCCAGTAACACGGTAACACCTCTCATATCTGAGACAATATCTCAGACTCCCGAGCCACTTGAAGCCTCCGTGGATTATGGAAATCATCTCGAGATATTGGTCTTCTTCCACATCTCGCAAATAGAAGGGGGCTCGACACCCACCAGAGGCTTGCATAAATCTTCTCTTTCTTCTTCTTCCAAGTACCAGTATGCCATGGTTCCTGCTTTCAGTGGAGTGTGGATGGCCCTGAATTTAATATCAAAGCCTTTGGCTGACTGGGCTCGCAGGTGACCCGCACTCGTGACATGCCTTATACCAGACCGTTCTCATTACAGCTAACGTCAGTACCGAGGGCGCGAACGAAAATTTTCCCATTTGGGACATTTTCGAAGAATTCCCCATACCTCGGTCAGTTCTTCACCGATTTGCATGAAACCAGGCTAGATAATTCAGGCTAATTCCTGCGCAATTAGTGATAGAAGGAAATGGGTAAAAATACTTTATATTAGATAGTCTGGGAAATTGGGCAGTTTTGGGAATAAACTCAGCCTAGCGAGATCCAGGCATGTTCAAACAACCTGGTTTTTTGGGACGGAAGACTTACATGGATTCTAAAAGATGTCATAAGGTCACAATCGCATAAATTTCATCGATGGATATCATTGTTACAATGTTTCCTAGTCACAGTGTTTTGCCCATTGCCCCAAAGTGATCACGAGCACCACAGACTGAATTATATGAACTTATTATTCTATGACATGTTCCATGATGTCTAAAAGTCTTCACTCACAAAAAACCAGGTTGTTTGAACATGCCTGGATCTCGCTAGGCTGAGTTTATTCCCAAAACTGCCCGATTTCCCAGACTATCTAATATAAGATATTTTTACCCATTTCATTCTATCACTAATTGCACATGAATTAGCCTGAATTATCTAGCCTGGTTTCATGCAAATCGGTGAAGAACTGACCGAGGTATGGGGAATTCTTCGAAAATGTCCCAAATGGGAAAATTTTCGTTCGCGCCCTCGGTACTGACGTTAGCTGTAAGTTACATTGCTACTCAGCATTTGAGCAGCCTCTGTGGATTATGGAAATCATCTCGAGATTTTATTGTCCCTGTCATGTACGTGAGAAGATGTGGGTTCGACTCCCACCAGAGGCTTAATTATGGGCAAAAGCAATATCTTTTTTCCACCTCCCGAGTACAAGTACGGGGCCCAGTCCGAATAGCGAGTATTTACATAGCGGAGTGCGGATGGCCCTGAATCTATTATCAAAGCCTGGGCAAGGGCCTACTAGGTGACTTGAGCTTATTTATGTAGATACAGGACCATAGTACATAGCTGCTGAAGCTCAGATGCTTGGGCAGCCTCTGTGGGTTATGGAAATCATCTCGAGAGACTTACTCCCGCGAGTTGTGTATATCTTGCGAGAAGATGTGGGTTCGAGTCCCACCGGAGGCACTGTCTGGTCATTGAATTGCAACTTTTTTCTTCTTCTTTTGTGGCGGATGGGAACTTGTGAGTGATGAGAACAAAGTACGATGGTATCATACTCATTACGACTCAACGGATGTACGGGAATCATCTCGAGATATAGTAGATTTGTTGCCGTTCAGTGAGAAGATGTGGGTTCGACCCGCACCAGAGGCACTTCATACAGTCGACCTGAATTTTTCTTCTTCTTTGGTGGCGGACGAGTGATGACACTGAAGCTGAAGTTAGTGTGGTACCATACTCATTACATTACTCCTCAGCATTTGAACAGCCTCTGTAGATTATGGAAATCATCTTGAGATATTACTCAGGATGAAGCCAAATGTACGTTTTCGAGAAGAAGTGGGTTCGACTCCCGTCAGAGGCTTGTTATAGTTGAAGAATTTACTTTTTCGAAATTCCAAGTACTACTTAGTATGCCACATATGCTTGCAACAGAGGGCAAACGATCCTGGATCTATTACCATGGGGTGGGGGTTAGCTGACATGGGCTTGTTCTTGGGATACCACGGCCAGACCATACTTATTCCTTACATTGCTACTCAACATTTGAGCAGCCTCTGTGGATCATGGAAATCCCTTATAAATACTGTCTGGGTGAGTGCTTTCAAATGATTGGGAGGAAATGTGGGTTCGACTCCCACCAGAGGCTTAATTTCAAAACATGACCTCTTTTCTCCTCCCAAGCACAAGTATGGGGCTCCCTCCAAATGGCGAGTATTTACATAGCAGAGTGTGCATGGTCCTGAATTTAGTCAAAGTCTCTAGCTGACGTGGGCTTGTTTATTTAGATACAGGATGATAGTACATACCTGCTGTAGTTCAAGCAGTTGAACAGCCTCTGTAGATTATGGAAATCATCTCGAGATGTTTGTGCCTGTCCATGTTTTGTATCACGAGAAGACGTGGGTTCGACTCCCACCAGAGGCTTGATTTCGAAACATGTCCTCTTTTTTCTCCTTCCAAGTACCATTATTATGCCACGGTGCTAGATATTCATGTTTTTAACGGAATCCGGATGATCCCAGGCCTCAACTGCAAGCAGGGTCTGGCTGACTTGGGCTTATTTATGTATACATAAATACAGGATGATGGCACATAACTACTGTAGCTCAAATACTTTAGCCTCTGTGGATTAAGGAAATCATCTCGAGATATTACTCTGGGTGAAGCCGAATGTAGGTTTGCGAGAAGAAGTGGGTTCAACTCTCATCAGAGGCTTAGGCTTGGGCAAAGGCAGTTTATTTTTTCCACCTCCCAAGTACTAGTATGGGGCTTGGTCCGAAAAGCAAGTATTTACTAAATGGAGTGCGGATGGTCCTGGATCTATTATCATCAAAGCCTCTGGTTGACTTGGGTTTATTTATGTAGATACCAGATCCTAGTACATACAAGCTCAAATGCTTGGGCAGCCTCTGTGGATTACGGAAATCATCTCGAGATTTTATTATCCTCTGTCATGTACGCGAGAAGATGTGGGTTCGACTCCCACCGGAGGCATACACGCCTATCTGATCGAAAGCCGGAAACCAGCTGGCATTTTGAATCACTGATTGCAGTGGCCGGCAGCCTGGTTTGCCGGCGGAATTCCAGTGGTTGCCAGGCGCCAAGTAGCTCTGATGAAACCGATGGCTGACCCGCTGGATTTCAGTGGTGGTGCCGGCGGCCGTCAATGGCCCCGCACGTGCGGTTGATGCGAGTCTCAGGCTGTCTCAGGCCATCAGTGCATTAAGTTAATGGCGACTTTGTATCGCATTGAGGCTTGCAAAGGAACCCATCCTATGTCGCGTGGACCCCTCTCCATGTTCTCTGAGATGTATGGCTATGAGATTCTCAAGTTCACATCAAGGTTTCAGCCTGTGTTGCTGGCTACTACAATGTTTCATTACGGTCAGACTCAGTAGTATGGGGACTTAGCGTTGAAATGGATATGTCTTGGGTACATGCTTGAGGACCCTAGGGCCCGACGTTAACACCACTCATATCGTTTGTGTCACTGAGTGGTTATGGTGCCTTTTCTCTTCTTTCTGCGGTTCTTTTGAACCGCGGTTCGATCCTTATTGCCGCCATTCGTTTTAAATATTAATTTCTTTGGTGCAGCAGAACGGGCCACACGTCGGATCACTGGACGCCAGCGGCGTAACGACTGCCAGCAGTGATCTACTTGGCGCACGGATACCAATGGTTCACGGCTGGAAACCAACGGCTGATCGGACGCCTGGTTTCCGGCTTTCGATCAGGTAGGCGTGTATGCCCTGTGCCTTCCTTTTTTTTTTTTTGTGGCGGATGGGACGGGAACCTGCAACTTATTACATTATTCCTCAGCATTTGAACAGCCTCTGTGGATTAGGGGAATCATCTTGAGAAAGTTGCTCAGCTGTTTAAGTCGTCTTCTCAAGAAGACGTGGGTTCGACTCCCACCAGAGGCTTATTTCAAATGTCTCCTTTTTTTTTTCTCCTCCTCCCTTTTGTAACTTACCAGTACGCCACGGTGCTAGATGTTCATATGAGTGTGGATGGCCCTGGATTTAATATCAAAACCTCAAGCAGACTCGGACTTGTTTACTTATAGCTGGCTTCTTATTTATTTATTGCTGAACCTTTAGGTTTGGCTACCCTGGGGAACATGGATTTCGGTAACTTTTGCTACATGTACAAACAAAGATTTAGTCACGCACCATTGGTCATCGCAGAAATAGAATCCAGAGAAAATGGGCAAGATGTAGAGATAAATCACGGTGCCAAGATATGTTTTTCAACTTAGTATCCACCTTGATTCCTTGTGTACAAGTGTATTTCATCTGCTGAAACCAAAGAAATCTCAAGTTCAAATTTTCCGTTATTAGTCATTTCTGCTTCATGTTCGGGCCAGTATCCGTTGACGTGAGAGAGTGCTTGATCTGGCTTGTCATAGGTGGGCACGACCACGTGCCGCAAAGGAGTATGCTCAGGGACGCGTTTCTGAGGTGCGTCAAGCCCCTTAGGCAGACTATGATGGTGTATATTACTCTTTTAAACTTCCTATGTAATTGGGATAATATACTTGATTCGAGTACCTGCAATTTTTTTTTATTTCATGGAAAACCTGGTACATAGTAATCTTTGAGATACTTTTGCCCATCCATGTCTGATGCCCAACTTATGTTCTTGATAGACCTCCAAGCATAATCAAAGGCAGAAAGCTGGAATAAGGAGTTGTATGATCCTCTGGAAATTTCCCCTGGCATGTTTTATTATTTCACGCACAACTTTGAAATTTTTCACACACAAGATTTTGAAAACTCCCTGGTTCATCAGTGGTTTTCCAGGGGTCTTAGTTATCTCTCTCTGAGGTCTCTCCCAAATTACTGGACAAGCATCCAAATTGAGTGATGGCTCATGCAAACAAGCTTGAGCTCAGTGGATCTTTATCTGCACCTGAGGCTACCAATAACATTGGTAGGCTGTGTCTCTGTCGTCCTCAAAATCTCTGGCTCATAGTTTTCCAGTGAATTAATTCAAAACTTGAGAAACCACCTATGAGTGTGTGATGCTCAATTTGCCTCTGATCTTTGCTTTTTCTATCTGCCACAATATAGTGTTGCTTTCCAACAAGGCCATGAGTGCGGGCTGAAATTTTTCAATTTACCATTCAGTCTGTCTTGACTTGATGTGGGCTGAACTGTACTTCATATAGTTTATGTTACTTTCACTCGCCATGAGCTGTTCAACTCGCAGATCAAAATTCTCCAGTGGTCAATTTAGCTTCTGCACACGAGAAACTGCCTACAAGTACACATGGGCTGTCGGATTTCCAATTGATTGAATTGCCGTGCCTGCAGGTGTACTGTTTCATGTACAGCTCATATTTTTACTTTTATCAAGTAATTGTGGACACCTACGAGTGCGGGGTGTTTGATTTCCACTCCATATTCCTTTTCCGAGTATCTGTCCATGTGCTTGAGAAACTGGACATGAGAGACATGGACACAAAACCAACCATAGGTTGGTGACAAGTGTCTGCAAACTGGAAAGTCTTTATTCATTGCTCAATGACCAAAGGATATCTGATTGTTTCTGCTGAGTATCATTGGCTGAACCTTTAGGTTTAGCTACTTACATGTGGGAGCACATCGATTGGGGTCACTTTTTGACAATAGGTACAAACACAGTTTAGTCATGACAAATTAGTCATTGTGCAAAAACAAATTGCAAGAAAGCAGAGAAAATAGAATCGAAATTGAAAGTGTCGAAACAAGTTTTTGAACATCTCTGCTGGTCTAGATTTTTACCTGTCTACAATTCCATTTCCTCTCCTGTGAGCAAGGAGGTCCGGTTTGGATTTTATGGTTAGTCATATCTGCTTTATGTTCGGGCCGTATCCGTTCGGACTCGGAACCCGTCGGTCGAACGTCACCCTGCCGGCATCAAGCCGGTGGGTAATCCCGATTCCCAATTGTTCCGATCAATTGTTGCTGCTCAACGGTTCAAGTCGGTTTGACCTGAGTTCTGTGCATTTTCTCAAAATAAATCTGCCGAAATGTAGCTAATATGTACTATGAATCTTCTGCCTCGATGCCAGATATTTCCCCTTTGAATTGAAACTGCAGGAGTGCACCATGTCGAGAGCTGGTACACAGTGGTGTCTGCTATGAAACCAAAAAAATTAGACTGAATTCTGAGAAAATTTAAGGAGCATTTGGTAAACCCTATAATGATATCCCAGCTATTTCTGGTTCCTGGACTGGACAAGGATGGGAGATCAGCGGTGACTACGCCGTTGCTCTCCCTGAGTCCACAAGGCACAAATCCCCACATACAAAAGTGTTGCGAAAAACGGACACAGATGTGATTGCACATTTCCTGCGCGGCGAATTCTTCTGGCTGGGTTGCTAAGTCCGAGGCCTCCCCTAACGGATGAGAGATTTACGACTGATGTTGGCCCAACGTGTTGGATGGTCCCCGGACCACAAGAAGATGTGGGAGGGAGTGCCTGAAACACTCACTTCTCTTGTTACTTCCAGCTGGTCTCCCGAGATCAGTTGTAAATGTTCCACAAAAAAAGGGAGGACATTTGAATTCACGCGTTTTAGAGGTATAAAAAATTATTGAATCCCTCCCACATTTTATAAATATTTTGCATCGTGCATACCATATCTAAGCACCTTGGGCATTTATCTAATCCAATTTTGCTCCAAATAATTTATTCATTCGGTTCAGCCTCCGCCTCGAAGAGGCCTAATCCATGTCATGCAGATATAGGACCATAGCACAATTCCTTAGGTAGCCTCTGTAGATTACGGAAATCATCTCGAGATATTTTCGATTTTCGTCCGTTTCGCGAGAAGACGTGGGTTCGACTGAGAACAAATGGGAAATGGGAAGTCCGGCGATCATGTCCGGGGTGCCTGACGGGAGAACGTCCGGGGTTGATGTAATGGTCCGGCGGCACAGTCGGCATATTGATCGATTGATTGCCATGGTCTTAAACAGTCAGCCGCCGCCCCTTATCCAAAGCTCCCGAGCGAGTGTGCAGGCAAACAGCCGATGACGACCAACGGGATGCACCCTGAACTATTGAGCGCAGCATACAAGATAGGTACAAGGTACATTTAATGGGCATCGCACCGATTCAAAGAGGAATGGTAAGATATTTTTCTGAGTATATTTTAGTCTTACAATCTTACAGGACATACATATGCGGCTCTCTGGCCATACAGGCAAGTGTAATAAGTGAGCAGTGGTGGGCAGCGGGACAGGTGGCGGCGGGGAGAAGTCACTGAATAGAGCGCATCTGATGGTTTGATCTGAATTCAAAGTCCGCTATGCCGCCGTACTTGCCGCCGTCTTTGATCCCGGACTGATTCCCGGACTTCCCAAAACCCATACTTTCACGACTCCCACCGGAGGCATTCAAATTCTATGAACTTGTGACTTTTTGCTTGTGGCGGAGCGGACGGGAACCTACTACTATGTATGTAGGCCTCACATACCGCGCTGGTTACTAGTACTGTACCCGACCGGAGTCGTCGTCGGTCCCTCGGTTACATCATCCGAATCCTTATTCATACAGTTGAAAGGTCTGGGCGCGCCAAGCGCGATTCGTTTCTCGGGCCCGGTCGGCCTCGGCCTGGGCGCGAACAATCAACCCTCTTACAGCTCGCTAGCGTCGTTTTCTCTTAGTGGAGTCGGCGTCCCCTCCGTCCCTCGGCGTCGCCCGTGTTAATCGGTCCCGGCCATCCGTTCCGCATCCCGCCAAGCTTCGAAAATCTCGGTCGGCCTGGGCGTCGTTAATTATTACCCCAGGCCCCTGCGCGCCCCCGCATTCTGATGGGCATTCAAATTGAAATTGGAATTTGGCGGGGTCTGGTGATGTGGGATCAGCTGATCGCGTCGACTTAGCTCCATCCACCACCATGCCCATACTCCTTTTTGGATTCGGGATGGGATTCGGAACCCCGCAGGCAGAGCGGCGCATCGCGTACTTGGGCTTAGGCTTAGGCTCACTCTACGCTGAAGAGAAGTTGCGGGATTCCGGAAGGGTGTGGCGGCGGCGCATGCGGATAGATCGCGGACAAGGGAAGCCGGGTGTCGCCGATGGCTTGCGAAATGGATTACCTCAGGCGGGTCAGCAGGTGTCGCGTCCCGGCGGGGAGGTATATAAGCGTGTGCTGCCGGAGCGCTAGAGTCCCACCGTGGGGTAAACTAAAACTCCCCTTCCACGCCCCTCGTTCGACGACGAGCAACCCCACCCGAAATCCAAAAGAAACTTGCAGAACTTGAAAGTAGGATGCCGCCCTCATTCACGCACGAGTGGAAGACGGAGGCGTACACGGGCAAGACGAACTTCCAGACGGGCGTGTTCATCGACGGCGAGTTCCGCGACGGCGCTAACAAGACCACTATCGAGTGCGCTTTCCTTCTTCCCTCTTCCCTCTTTGCGCTTTGCGCTTTTGTTGCCGCAGCTAACGACCCCGCGCACCCCCCAGCGTGATCAACCCAACCAACGGCAAGCTAGTGACGAAGATCGCGGAGGCGACGGCCGCGGACGTCGACACCGCCGTCAAGGTCGCGCAGAAGGCGCTCGAGACGACCTGGGGGCTTAATGCGCCCGGGGCCCAGCGCGGGGAGCTGCTTTTCAAGCTCGCGGCGCTCATGGAGCGCGATGCGGAGGAGCTTAGTGCGATCGAGGCGCTGGATAACGGTATGTGCGATTGCTGCGAGTGCATGTGGTGCTTTCGAGCGCTCTCTTCGCATTATCCTTCTCCTCCTTATCTTCCCCGTACTGACTCCCCACCCCCGCAGGCAAGACCTTCGGCTGGGCGAGGGGCGTCGACGTCGCGTTCAGCATCCAGACGATCAAGTCCGTTTTCTTTCGCTTGCTACTGCCCTTGTCCCCTGTCCCTGCGTTCTCCCCTCGCCTTCTCCCTCCTCTCCGCGTTGTCCCCCC